TGTATGACATGGGCTATTTTTAATGACCATTGCCCGTGCATGTGTGTACCTGTGCGCGCACACACACACACACATGCACAAATATGTTTCATGTGGATTTTAGTCAAAGAGCATATCTATCCCAGTTTCCCTAATAAGTCCATTTATTTGGGGCAGATCTGCATGATTGAATGGATTTGATGTCTTTTTATTTTATCCTTCTTAACATTTTGTTGGTACTATTTTGTCACTTTATATATTCTTTGAGATAACCTTATTTGTGAACTTTTAACTTTTTTTTTTTAAGATTTTATTTATTTATTTGACAGAGAGAGACACAGCGAGAGAGGGAACACAAGCAGGGGGTAGTGGGAGAGGGAGAAACAGGCTTCCCATGGAGCAGGGAGCCCGATGTGGGGCTCGATCCCAGGACCCTGGGATCATGACCCGAGCCGAAGGCAGACGCTTAACGACTGAGCCACCCAGGCGCCCCTGAACTTTTAACTTTTAACTTAACTCAAACTCAAGTTTGAGTGTAGAATCTGTTTTACTTTCTTCTGCATTCTGTGAAAACTTGGTGACACAAACTATAACATTTTAGGAGTAAAAAAAAGTATTGGATAAACATAATTGAGTATGTTTGAACTGAAATTTAAATTGGTAGAGAAAGCAGCTCATCATATGTAGCTAGGGCCAGACCGTTTTCATTTTCCAAAGCTCTCCCATTATTTCCTTTTCCTAAAGAGCCTTTGCAAGTGGAGAAGAGCTAGCTGACCCTCATCCGTGAAAAGACAAGCTTCATCGTCAAGAAGGGTTATGCTGCTTATTCACAGGGTCAAACTGTGTGAACCCATCACCCACCTATACACGAGAAATACCTTTGTCCATTAACGTATAAGGAGATTGAGGACACTGGTGCTCTGGGCACAAGCATTCCCATTCCCATAATTATGACCTTCCTTACCCTAGAAGCTTTTTCAGTAAAGCCTGCGATTGCATACATTTGCTTATTTTCAAATTTACTTGGTGGCCAAAGCCTCAAGGTGTATGGCTGCTTTAACAGTGGAATTTTTATGTCGGAAATAAATGAGATATTGTCCACACATGGAGAAAAGTTTGTTTTCATCTCAACAACTATGTGTGCCGTACTTTATTTTATACTCGTATGCTGTTCAGACCAAAGTGTCGGTAGAGCTGCGGTGGCCTGTGCTCTTTTCAGCCTGACAAACAGCAATTGGTTGCAGTTGGAACTCCTTCTTAAGCTGTGGCAGGTCGGGGAGCCCAGAGCTAACAGAATTGTCCTAAATGATTGGCTAAGGCATTTGTGTTGGCTTAATTGTACATTTGCCCTTTGACTAAAATTAGAGATTAAGTCCCCTCCCTGGGAACTGCATCTTAAGTTAGTAAGAAGTTAGACTGCACTTTCTAATTAGATCTTTTCTATTGCACACTGCCGTGGGGTTTCTACCTTGACAACAACGCACAGTTCCATTATGTTCTCTTTTAGAAAAGAATTTCCCTTTACACTTTATGGGAGGCTGTTTCTGCTTTATATTAATATTACCTCACCAATTGTGATTGTACCGTGCGTGGGAGGTTGGTAGCAATTGAGTTGTGGGCAACCTGCATAGCACCTTTCACTTTTCCCTTTTTCATCGTGTCAGGATTAGCACAACATGGCTTTGTCTTAACAAAGACGACTTTTGGAGGATCTCACTGCTGCTCAGGTGCCTCATCAGTCAAGTGGCTCAGTGCTTCATCCAGCTCTGTGTAATAGTTCACAATTCCCAGCATGACCTGACAGCATCTTTAATTATAATATTGATTTTTTTCAAGTGCCATTTTTGAAACATAAATACCTATAACCATAGATGCCCTCAGAATATATAGCGAAAGGACATTAAAACAACCTAAGTCAAAAATTTCAAAAGAAAAATGGTTCTGGCATTCAAAACACATAGAATATGAGGTTCCTCTATAATATATATTTTTTCTTTCTTAGTGAACAATAGAGTACCAATGATTGAGGATTATTTGTGGGGACAGTACTCCTTTTCTTTTTTTTTTCCCTCTGTGAATTTTTCGTTGACGCTGTTTTAGTTCTTCTGGATCCTCTGTAGCCTGTTCCCAGAAGCAAAAGGACGGAAGCCATATTCTGCGTTAAGTTATGATCCGCACGTTTACTAGCTCCTAAAATCCTCCAGCTAATGCTTGCCTGTGAACATGACTGAGTCGTGAGTCACCTGCCCAAGTCACCGAGAAAATGACGCAATCCTTTGAAGTTAGCCAAGACTTTCTGCATAATGGTTAGGTAGAAAAAGGGAATTACTACTGCCTTTTGAAGAAAAGATCTTAAAAAATTTCCAATCTATAAAATGTGGAGATGAGAAAACTTAGCTCTAAGATTCCTTCTGAATCATGTAGTCTATGAACCTCTGATAATTTCTTTCCCTAAAGTGATAATATCTCACGAAGCTTTGCTTCCCCTAGGAAACAGGCTGTGATCATAAAAGAAAATAAAAAGAATATCTACAACCTCTGTTTCTTTATTAATTAAAATGAACACCTTTTAAAAACTTTTAAATTAGACATTCTCTGAACTGCACAGTTACAGCATGTCTCATGATTTCCTGAGGCTTTTCATGGCAGCTGGTCCTGCGTGAGGAGGAAATGCATCAAGGCCACGCCACACTCTAAGGCTGGTCCCAAACGTGGGCCTTCTCTGCCATCCAGGCTCTCGCATCTTGCCCTTTTGTGTTATAATAATGTATATAGAAACTTTTATCTTTTTTGAGTTTTAATAACCTGAGTGTATGACTAATATTGCAGACTCTAAAATAGGATGCATTTTGTGGCTTTCAGGCATAGTTATTATATAACAAGATAAGTAGCGAAATCAAATATTTGTCATACTTTCAAGTCAAACACAGTTGAAAGTATTTTCTCTACTCAAAACTCATCAGAACTGAGGTTAGCACAAAGTGGAAGTTAAAAATCGCATTCCTTTAAAGTAATTTTTGTGTGTGTATGTGTGGTTAGAGGATGAGTCTACCTTTCCTGACTCTCCCATCCCCTTTTTATATCAAGTACACTTGCAATAGGTTGCTAATATATTGATGGAGGTCTCAAGAATTCCAACTGGTCAAATATTCATGCAATATGACCGCAACGTGCAATCTTCTCATACAATTTTGCACAGCGCCTTTAAGATCTACTCAAGAAACCACCGTGACAGGCTAACTGTGACTTACAGAATAAGAGAAAAATGACCCAACATGTTAAATACCTCCAGTAATAGTACCCAATTTCTTTGGCATTAGTATTTTTCCTTTTCCACTGTCAAATTAATATAAAACCTCACCCTATCTTTGCTAAACAACTGCAGTCCCAAATAAATGCAATTATGATAAGAAAAAATGGTATTTATAAAATTTGATTTTACTTCAAGTGTATTTATAATTATAACATACAATACATATTATTGTATTATTATATATTATTTTGTGTATCAAATAATATATAAACACAATGTTCTAGTAAAAATGTCAAGCCTTTTGATAAAGTGAAAACCCCATGAACCCTCATACAATCATATTTTTTCAGAAATTGCCACTGACAGAGCACACTCTATACATGCACCAACCTTAGTCTATTCATTTACAAACACATACAGCCCACATACATTTTTTGTACTTTTGTACTTAATACAGTTTTTTTAATATAGGAGTTAGAGCATATGTAATTTTTCGTGAATTGCATTTGATGGCAATATAATTTGGGAGTCTTTTCATGTCAGTAAATGACTTCTTTCTTCTTAAATATTAAATGGTATCTTGTATCTCACATCTTGCAGTACATGCAGACTTTGTTTGTTCAACCACTCTCCTTTTGATGACATTTAGTTTGACTTCAAGGCTTTTTTTTAATTTAAAAAGTCTTTTTTAATCCCATAATTATAAAAATATTGTTTTTATTTTTTCTAGTCCCTTGAAAATACCATTTTTCTTGTATTTATGACATCATTTTCTTGTATTCACATCATTTTTCTCATTTTTTTCTTATATAAATGCAAGAAATTATGCTTTAAGATGGTATAAGAAAAATTTGTAACTTTTTGAAAAAAATAAATCTTCACTTTCCTCCACACCATTTGTTGACTAGCCCATTTTTATTTTTTTTTCTTTATTTTTAAATTTTTTTTTTTTTGAGAGAGAGAGAACACGCCAATGGGGGGGGTTAGGGGAGGGGCAGAGGGAGAGAGAGAGAATCTCTTTTTTTTTTTTTTAAGATTTTATTTATTTGAGAGCAAGAAAGAGAGAGAATGAGAACACGAGAGGGGGTAAGGTCAGAGGGAGAAGCAGACTCCCCGCTGAGCAGGGAGCCCGATGCGGGACTCGATCCCGGGACTCCAGGATCATGACCTGAGCAGAAGGCAGTCGCTTAACCAACTGAGCCACCCAGGCACCCAGACTAGCCCATTTTTAAATCGGTTTTGAAACTCTACCTTCATCCTATACTACATTCCATGTATATATGAGCCTGTTGCTGGACTTGCTGCAAATTACTAATTTACTAACAAAATCTTTCTGTAATTCAAATTATCATTAGCTGCTGTCAAAGCTCCATTAGAATGCTATGCATGGGTCTGTGTCTCATCACCACCTAAGGAATTCACTGTCTCATAATATGGGTCTTAAAGGGGTCTTTTTGTGATTCTACTAAGTCCTTCCCTGCTCAGTTCCTTCCGATATTTGAATAGAAGGATTTGAAGGTGGGAAAAAGGATCCGGAACTTTGGTGTTCAATGAAGCTTTTCATCAGAGCCTGCACTTTTTCCCTTGGTAGCACCTCCTCTCTCAGGAATTCAGTGCTCTCATACTGCCCTCTAGGACCCCCAGCGACCTAGAAAAATGCATCACAACCCATGAAGACTTATCCTACAGGGACAGTCCGGTTCACTTGTTTACTCAGTCTTAGTTTAAACATGCGTTATTCTCACTCGACATCGATTATGAGTGTTACCTGACATGTTGATGGTGCACTGCTCCACGGAGGAGGAAGAGAGAGCTAAACACGGGTGAGGAAGGGATTGGAGTACTCGTGGGTCTAGCAGCACATCTACTCATCACTGTGCTGCTGAGGTCAGCTCTGCAAAGGAGCACAGAAATTAAAATGGCCTTATCAGAGAAACAATAATAATAATAATAATAATAATAATGATAATAATAATAATTACTACTATTAATAATAATAAATTTTGGAAGGGAGGGAAAACACATTAAAAAACTCTAAAAATAATGTTCCCTATTGGGTATTAGAGCAAGCGCATGTTAATTAATTATTTCTAGGAATGGTGGTTGCCACCTTTAGATCTTATGGTCACTAGAAAGATGAAATCTAAATGCTAATATGTACCAATTTAGTCAATTTAGAGAAGATTGGCTTCATTAAAACCAGTTAGAAAAACTGGCTAATAGATATGCAATAAAATAACTCAGAAAAAATGTAGTGAAATAAAATTAAGACTCTATATCTGTGGGAGACCTTAAACTCATTCTGTTAAAAATTTAAAGGAATATGCATTCTATACATACCTTATGATTTTCTATAACTGTTTTTTTTTTTTTTAATTTTGCCTTTAAATACCCAGTAAAATTCTTTGTGATCACTTTCAAAATCTTGCTGACTTTACCAAAGGGAAAGGGACATATGAGAAAAACAAAGAATTAGTAGAATATGGAAAGGCAAAGAAAGGAGATTTCTACAATCTGATTCCCTCTGAGCAGAGGCCTTATCTTTATTATTATTATTTTTTAAGATTTTCTTTATTTATCTGAGAATGAGAGAGCAGGGGCCTGTAGCAGGGAGCGGGCAGAGGGGGGAGAAGGAGAAAGAGACAAGCAGACTTCCCACTGAGCAGGGACCCTGCATCATCAGGGCTCAATTCCAGGACCATGAGACCATGACCTGAGCCAAAGGCAGATGCTTAACAGACTGAGCCACCCAGGCGTCCCCGGAGGCATTATCTTTCATGCAGACAATTCATGTGTGTGCTTCCGTATATTGTGTCCTTATGTATACACAAACACATAATTGTTTTGATTCTTTTTTTTTTGAAGATTTTTGTGTTAAGAATAATTTAATGCTCTAAGTTTTGCTATTATTGGAATGGGTGCTGAGTTTTGCTTTATTTCCCATTTTTACTTGCCCATCTATATTTGTTTTTTTTTATAGAAATTTGAAGACTTCTTTATATTTTGATGTAAGTTCTTAATAAGATATGTGATTTGCAAATATTTTCTTCTAGTCTATAACTTTTTGTCTCAGTCTGTTCAGGATAGTATAACAAAATACCATAGACCGAATGACTTGTGAACAGCAGAAATTATTTGTCAGAATTCTGAAATCTGACAATTCCGACATCAAGGCGCCAGCAGATTCGGTGACCAATGAGGGCTCACTTCCTTTTTCATAGATATCCATCTTTTCACCAGGTCTTCACGTGGTAGAAGGAAGGGAGCTCTCTGGGGTCTCTTGTAAACACACAAATCCCATTCAGGAGGGTTCGTTCCTCACGAGCTAATCACTTCCCAAGGGCTCCACCTCCAATGCGATCACACTGGGGACTAGATTTCAACACATGAAATCTGGGGTGACGTTAACATATAGTCTATAGCACTTGTCTTTTTTCTCAACAGTGCCTTTGACAAGCAGAATTCTTTGCTTTGATGGGATACAATGAATCCAATTTTCTTCTGTTCAATTCATTTGATTTGTACTATAGAAATGTATTCAATTTAAATCAGTTATGGAATTGAATTTATAATGTCTTATCCAAGGTGTCTATACAGAGCCGAGGTCACAAATTTTCTCCCATATTTTGTTCTAGAAGTAGTGCAGATTTAGTTTTTGCATTTAAGTCTATAATACATGTTGAATTAATTTTTGTGTGTGTTGCAATTTTGGGGACCTACTAATTTTTTTATTAAACATCACCTGGTAACAACTTTTTTAAACTATCTTTAGTCCACTGAATTACATTTGCAACTTAGTAAAAAATCAACTGACATGGTTGTGTCTATTTGCAGACATTCTACTTGTTCCTTTGGCTTATTTGCTCAATTAGACAGCAATACAATCCTCTCTCTCTCTTTTTTTTTTTTAGAGTAGCTTTGCAATAAGTACTCAAATTGGGCAGTGTAATTCCTTCAAGTTTGCTTTCCTTTTCCAAAGTTGCTCTATTTGATTCCCTTTTCATTTCCACAAAATTTTTCTATCGGATTTAATTTTTCAAATACATGACAGGATGCAGATTAGAATTCCATTTAATTTGTAGATCAATTTAGGAATAATTGACATCTAAGTAATATGTAGTATTCCAGCCCTTAAACACAATATATGTCTCCTTGGGGCACCTGGGTGGCTCAGATGGTTAAGCGTCTGCCTTCGGCTCAGGTCATGATCCCAGGGTCCTGGGATCAAGCCCCACATCGGGCTCCTGGCTCAGCAAGGAGTCTGCTTCTCCCTCTCCCTCTGCCTCTCTCCCTGCTCATGCTCTCTCTCTCTCTATCTCTGTGTCTCAAATGAATAAATAAAATCTTTAAAAAAAAAAATATATATATATATATATATATATGTCTCCTTTCATTTTTCCTTAAATTTTGCTATGTTTTGTAGTTTTCTTGTTGTTGCTGTTTTTTAAAGATTTTATTTATTTGACAGACCGAGAGCACAAGCAGGGGGAGTGGCAGGCAGAGGCAGAGGGAGAAGCAGGCTCCCCGCTAAGCAGGGGGAGCCCAGGTGTGGGACTTGATTCCAGGACCCCAGGATCATGACCTGAGCCGAAGGCAGCCGCTTAACCAACTAAACCACCCAGGAGCCCGTTTTGTAGTTTTTTATGTACAGGACTTTCACATCTTTTGTCAGCTTTATCCCTAAATATTTTGGGTTTTGATGGTTGCTGCTGTCTATAATATTTATGGGTTTTTGTTTTGAAATTTCAATTTCCAGTTGTTCATTACTAGTATATAGAAATATACTCGATTTTTGTATGCTACCTCTGTTTAAATTCCACAATAGATTATTATTATATTGCTTTAAGCAATTGATTATTTTAAGAGTTTACATAACATGAAAAACTCTGCTTATGATAATCTTCTCATTTGAACGTTTTTCAGCAGACTCCACATGTTACTTCCTCTTTACTGGCTTCTCTCATATGTTTTAAATGTTACTGTTTTGGTGCTGATTTCTGTTAATTTAAATTTTTATTTGTTTGATGTTTGCATCCTATAGACTGACGAAACATTTAATAGTTCTTGTAGATTTTTAAAAAAGATTTTATTCATTTATTTGAGAGAACACGAGAGAGAGAGAGAGAGAGTAAGCAAAGCAGGGGGCTGGTGTGGGTGGCAGAGAGAGAAGCAGGCTCTCTGCTGAGTGGGGAGCCAGACTTGGGACTCGATCCCAGGACCCCAGGCCATGACCTGAGCTGAACGCAGACACTTAACCAACTGAGCCACCCAGGCACCCCACAAGTAGATTTTTTTTTCTAGATTCCTTAAGATTTTTTATGTAGACCATTAAATCATCAACAAATGAAGAGAACTTCACTAAAGCCTATATTTCTTCAATTATTTGGTGTCCTCCTATCTCTGTTCTGAGACCACTAAACAGATGCTGAATGACTTGACATTGTCCCACTTATCCACAAGGCTTTGTTCATTATTTTTTAACTCTTATTTTCTCTGTGCGTTTTGTTTGGGGTATTTTTTGTTGTTTTTTCTTCAATATCACTAGTCTCTTTTGTGGTATCCAACAGTTGTTAATCCAATTCAGTGTATTTTTTATTACATAGATTCTAAATCTATGGAAGTTCATTTGAGTTTCTCCCATATATCTTCGGTATGTCTCATGCTCATATGCACCTTTTCTCTACTTTCTTCTATGTGTGGAACATATTTATAAATGCTTTTTATCCCACTCTCTGTTTGATAACTCTATTATATCTATCATTTTTGGTTCTATTTCTAGTAATTGGTTTTTCTCCTGCTTGAGTCTTACTTTTCTGCTTTTTTTTTTTTTAAGATTTTATTCATTTATTTGGAAGGGGGAGGGAGAGCACAAAGGGAGAGTAAGAGGGAGAAGCAGACTCCCCTCTGAGCAAAGAGCCTGATGCAGGATTCAATTCAGGCCCCTGAGATCATGATCCCAGCCAAAGGCAGATGCCAAACCCACTGGGCTGCCCAGGTGCCCTACTTTTCTGCTTTTTTGCATACACGGTAACTTTTGATTGGATAATGTACATTGTGAATTTTACATTGTTGGGTCCAGGAGTTTATTGTATTCTTTTCATTAGTCTGATCAACTGTCCTGGCATGCATTTATATATATTTTTTATCAGTTTAATAGTTTCTAGGTTGCTTTAAGCCTTCCTCTCAGATATCACATTCTTTTGTTGCATGTTGTCCAATATCTGGAAACTGCTCTTTCATATATTTTATACAGGTTTCTAGTATTATTTTAGTGATGGAGGGTAAATCTAGTTGCTGTTATTCCATCGTTGTCATAGGGAGATGTGTAATTTATTATGGTTGAAAAATTTTTTCATTTAATATGTAATGAATATTCTTTTATGTGAATGTATACTCATTTATTTAATCACATTTTAAAGATGGCTCTTTGGGTCTGCATACTAAAATTTAATTACCAATTCACAATTGGTTGACGTCTACAGTATTTATGATTTTCCAGAATTTTAAAGAATTTTATATTTGCCATCATCTATTGAGAATGAATTAGTAATTGACATGATTTTATAGGTATTTAGTTATTTTGTGCTTATTTAAAATTTTGGAAGCACAATTTGATGGATATAACAATTTGCATCCTATTTCCATTTGCTTGGCTCTTCAGATGGCCCATTGCTAAAAATTGGCAAAATTAATAAATTGGCTAAGGAATGGGTTGATAAAATAACTAAATGAGTTGATCAAGGAATGTTTAAAGTCTTAATGTATCTTACGTTATTAACATCAATTTAGAGGATGAGAATAATGACAAGTATTATGAAATATGTTTGCAATTTTAATTCAGTTTTTACTTGACTAAGTAAGTGACACACAGTTGTTAAAGGACAATTTACTACC